CATCAATTACTGCTTTATTTAATCAGAAACACAGTCTAAATATTTGTGTATTTTGCTTTCATTTTATTAGAAGTAGGCCAACAGCGCCCCCTACGGAATTAAAACTCCTTACTGAGCGGGCTTTAGGACCCCGGGCCCGGGGAGGCTGCCGCTGCACGTGCTATTACTGTTGACTCTATCATACACCAAAGGCGGCATTCTGTACGTTCATTCTCAATTAAAATGCAACAATCCAAAACAGTGAATCCAATCACCATTCAGGCAAAACTTTGCTTCTAGAATGAGCCACAATGCTGACGTTATCTAATCGCACTGTTGACGTGATCTAATCGCTAGCACACCCTGAGTACATGTGTGTTAATATATTCCTCTTATCGGCAAGACATATCGGCATAATTTTTCATATCGGGCTGATGCCGATATTTACATTTAAAGCCATTATCGGCCGATTCTGATATTGGTCCGATAATATCGTGCATCCCTAATAAAATCCAGTGAAAATACTAAAAAAATTAATATTAAACAAACAAACACATAACAAAACACAAAACTACAAATACAGACAAACTTTGCACAAGTAAATTTTTGCAAACTACCATTACCAAAAAATTTACTTTAAGTTAATTTTATTGTTGACCACAGTTGTGATAGATGTCACATGTCACCCTATAATCTGAGTCATATGTTTGTTTTTTGTTTTTTTCTGTCCAGTACTTTGTAACTATTGGAACAATTATTTTGAGACTATGTCTGCCCTACAACTGCAATCTTTGGACTCAGTTTACATCTAAACAGTTAGATGTACTTGCCTTCACTGCTTTATTGGCTAGACGACAGATTTTATTTCTTTGGAAGTCCAGTCAACCCCCAGGTGTCTCACAGTGGCTTGTGGATGCCATGTACTTTTTGAAGTTGGAAAAAAATATTAGATACAATAAAGTTAATTTTATTAAAGCTACACTACGTAACTTTTTTTTGTCTGAACTGATTGAAATCTAAATTGTGAGCAAGTACATATGTCCATCTTCAAAAGCATGTCTTACCCTGAATCACTACAGTACGCCTATAATAATTAATTACAAGGGAATCTGTTTGCATGTTGTGATTGGTTATCTAATTTCTATAATCACACATCATGTCAGAACCAGTCCTGCTGATTTTTCTCTTCATTCGCCAAGTTTAATCAGGAATACGATATCAACATTGTGGTGCCAAGATGATAATCAAGGCATAATGAGTTAAATGTCAGTTTGCGCATCGCCCAAAGCTATAATGTGAAATCAGTAGATTTGGAATATAATATATATTTGAGATTCTTTTCTCAACCATGTTTGTGTTCCTTAATCAAATTCATTTTGAAGCGTGAGAGATGGCAGAGGACAATAGATGTATGGATTACTGTGCTGCATATGAATTACACTAGTTATGTAGTGACATGCAGGCTGGTTTGATGCCATCAGCACTTTCAGCAAAATAAATAAATAAATAAATCTTCTGGACCGACCTCGTCTTCTGGACTCCTTCTTGACACTGAGTTTGACATCTGCTTGAAGTTCTGCCTCTGTTGACATCCTCCCGTGTCTCTGTTCCTCTCAGTAGCATGTGGATGCTTATCCTGTAGGATCCTCTAGTCTTCTGAGGCAAACTCACAACGCTGGCATATTGAGATTTACGTCCGGTATTGAGACAGAATGAACTGCTCAAGTTAGTGAGATGTGTGAGTGTATTTGTTCTGTATATTCCTGTATTGAAGTTTAACAGTGTGCCTCGGATAGTTTCGCAGCTGATCCAGTAGCATTATTTTTTATCAGTGCTCGGCTGAGACACTGTGGAGAGAAACAGAAATAAATTGTTACACATGTAATGAAATTAAAGTCTTTTCCCTGTCAACTAAGCTAAAGATCTAATTTCTGATTTGAGAGAAAAACCATCAAGTCAGCTGATTTTCTTTATTCACCCAATAAAGCCAACTGTATCATATCTGATACACAAATTTATAAGGCCTATAAATTATCAACAATTATCAACAATAAAAAAATATTATTAAATTATCAAGACTTTTGTCGTCTGATTGATAGTTTATACTTTTCAAAAGGCCTTTTAGTATACGTCCACCTTCAGCTCGTGCTTCATGTGTCTTTATGCTGTAAAATCTTTAATGATTTTTATAAAGCAAACGTAAATTTTATATTGTTAGTAATATTTCAAGATGAACCCTTGCTAGACTGAAGCAACTTTGTTTTACTTGACCATCCAGGCATCATTTTTTAGAAAAAATCATGCTCAGATATCTCAAAAAATTTAGATATTTAAAAAAAAAAATCATGCTCAAAAAGTCTCAAATATGATCATCAGGCATTTGAGGGATGTTTATTTGTTTATCTCATCATTGCATTGCATTGCATTATATGTTTTGATCATAAAATCTATCAGATATAAATATCAGCATCTGCACAACATTTTTCCTCTGAATAAAAATTTACTTCACAACATTCCAAAGCATAATATTGTACTTTTTACTGCACTACGTGTCATATTAAATATCATTTAATACTTAATTACATTAGAAATCTATTACTTTCTCACTTTTACTCAAGTAAAAACAATTCAAAGATTTACTTGAGTACAAGAAAGTACTACATTTTTAATGTTCTTAAGTATTAAAGTTAAAACAAACAACAACTTTTATTTATGAAATGCAGTAAAAAGTATGGCATTATGCTTTGGAATGTAGCGACTTAAAGTTTTCCAAAGAAAAACACTCTGATAAACTACAGATACTTGATACTTGAGTAAAGTAAAAATACTTCACTACTGTCCACTTCTGCAAATACGATACTCAACACATATGTATTTTAATTTTTTAATGTATTAATTAACATATTCGTTTTTTTAGACCACATTTAGATTTTTATAAATACAGGTTCAGTAAAACCTTTCCAATAAAAATAGATTTTTTTATGTATTATTTCATATGTCAGGCTATACAGGTTTAAAACATACTACTAGTCTTACTGTGAAGAATTCATCAGCGCTTGTTATCCCATGTCTTTCTGGCTAGAGTTTAAGTTGTAGTGAATAGTATTCCTTTAAAGACCTAACAGACCTCAGCACTAAAATGAAGAACATTGTTTTCTGCTCTTCAAAGACTTGAGCGCTTCTGCTGGTGAAGTCATGCATCATTAATAAACAACCTTCATTTAAAAGAAGTGATGGAGGTTAGGAAAGACACTGCCTGTGATCAAACTTCTGAAGACACAGCAGATCAGAACATGTGCATCTTCACATCAAATAAAAGGAAAAGGCCTGCACTTTCACTCTGGAATAATGTGGTTTTATTAAGACCATGCCTGCGTCTGACAAAAGACTGATTTAATGTGATGAATGACTGCTCTTTAAAGCACCGTTTAACTAGGTCACCACACGCTCAATCTGGGTCAGAGCTGATGAGCATTGCTATTGTGCTCCAAAGCACCAGAGAAACACTTCAAATATGCTTGCTTGTGTTTGCTCATGGGACAAATTTAGAGGATTGTAATCTGCTTTCTGACTGTCACGTGCAGGGTTCAGGTTTCTTTTTTGACTCATGCCTTTATTTTGTCATGTGCTTTTATTTGGATATTATTTTGTAATCTTCATTGGTTTCTTGTCTTCTCCTGTCTTGATTGTCTCCTGTTGTAGCATTAGTTTCCCTTATATTTAAAACCATCATGTGTGTTTTATCACTGCTCATCTCTTTTAATGTCACCAGCTTGATCAAATGTATCATGTCATATCATTTTGTCTTGTTTAAGTCAAGTTATTTATTCTGTTTTGTTTCCACATTTTCTTTTTCATTTGTGAAATACACTGAACTTAAGTTCATCAACATCAACCTGAGATGAAGTGTTACCTTGACAATCTTAAAAAAACACCAAAAATGGTGAGATTTTAGCTGTCATAGTAACTCACTCATGTTTTTTTTTCCCTTTCATAAGAAAGTCTGGAAGCTCTAACAGTTTCGGCTTGCATTTCTCACCTGTATGATCCATTTTGTATGAATGCTTGTTTTGAACCTTTCAAAATAATACTAATAAAAATTTTAAGTTAAGGCAGTTGCAACATTGAATATTTCCCATCGTCACAGCCCTGGATTTTTCCACATCTACCAACCAAACCTCCATCTGTCCCATCATACGATGCCCATGCCTCCACATCAGCACCTGTCACAGTCCCCATCATCGCTCATACTGAATGACATGATCAGCAATCAAAGCGCGGTTATTACCTGTGACACCAATACACTGTCCACTGAGAAAAAAAAGCCTGGTGAGCTATAGTTTTAAAGGGGTCATCGGATGCAAAATTCACTTTAACATGTTGTTTGAACTGAAATGTGTGCTGGCAGTGTGTGTACACAACCACCCTATAATGATAAAAATCCAGATAAATAATATCCCCTTTTTCAAATCAAGTCATTCTCAGATTCTCGGCTGTGTGACGTCACACAGACCCATGCCCCGCCCACGATTGTTGATTGACACTGGTGTTTTACGTTAGACCCGCCCTGAGTGAGCTGTCATCAGTCGGCCATTGTTTCACCGCCGGAGCAGATGTAGACAAAAATGTCTCCTAAGAGATTGAGGTGTTTTATTGTTGGATGTAATAATGAACATATCAGTCATCATTTACTCCCGACATCTGAGCCGCTGAAGACGCAGTGGATTACGTTTGTGTTGAATGCGACTAAAGTTTACAGTCTCTCAGAGAATTGCGCATCACCCCACGAGGGAAGAGAGGGGCGGGGTCTGCAGAGCTCATTAGCATTTAAAGGGAAATGCACTGAAACGGCTTGCTGTTCAAAAGAGCTGTTTTTGTCAGGGTAAAAAGGGTGTCGTTTTACACTACCATTGAGAAATTTTAACCAAACTATGTTATAGACTTTTCATTAAGACCCTAAAGAATCATATCAGCTTGTGGAAAATGGGCATCCTATGACCCCTTTAACAAGCAATAGATATGTTGATATTTCAACAATTTCAGTTTTGAAAGAATTACAAAGACACTTGCGATTTCCCTTTTGAGAGGTCATAATTACATTTAATAACTGATTTATACAAGTCAAAATTGAGTTGCAGTTGTAGATATCTTTAATATATTTAATTACCATTATCAACACATGCATTCTTATTGTAGTTAATAGTTATCACTTACAGTATTATCTATATAATGGATTTGATTCTAGTCAGAACTTCATATTAATAATATGCAAAGCATAACTGATAACATGCCTCTTTCCCTTCCCAAATCCAGTCTGAAGTAGGCTATTATTGTTATTATTAATATTCACAAAGTAATAAAAATAATCAGCAAACATATCCAGTGTAACTGACTGCAATAATGATTAGGAAGGATACATGTACAGTACTGAAATGAAACATGTGAAGAGCCAAAACAAGAGCTTAAACTTTAATTAAAAATTCACGCAAAAAACACAGATAATCAAAATTGAAGTCAAAAAACCAAAAGAAATCCAATTATTAGCAACTACATCAAACAGTGCAGGCAGGTTCATTCATTCCTACCTACAAAATCACAGGCAAAGGTCAAGGTGTCATCAGTAATGTGCAGTTTGTTATGTTATTGTTGTTCAGTGTTTATTGCATTATTTTAGTGTTGTATGTCATCCTGATGGTGTTTGTCTTCGTCTGCATGACCTTATTCACTGTCATGTTTTCTGGACTGGCCAAGGACGATAAACTCTGATTCATCCTGTGCTTTTGTATCATCTGAATCATCACGGTGGTTTTGAGTAGTTAAAACTGAATCACGGATAGTAACGCTTGGAGCATTAAACTAAATCAGCTTGCTGTAGTATATGGTTCAGTTTAATAAATTATGTGAAATATCACAGAGTTATTTAAGAAAGTTCATATCTGATGTCTGTGTTTGGCTTCCTGAAGCATCCCTCTTTTTGCCAGTATTATAGAGTCGAATATTAGAAAAAATAAAGAAGGATTTGCCAACAAGCAGAACATGTTCTACAAAGTATTGCACAACTAGTCATCATGAAAACTGCATCATGCACTGATCTCACCATTGGATGTTACTATAAAAGCATTTGAAATATACTAATAGGTACATCAGGAAAAAAAAAACTCAGTGTTGGTCTCACTTAATAAATTATTGATTTAATTATTTTTTTTCAAAGTCATATCTCAAGTGATTATAAGGCATGCATTTCTTAGCAATATTGTGTTTAACTTGGAGTTATGTTATAATAAAGAGCTTGATATGCAAGCGCTTGTTGAAATGCCAGTATCAGACGGGAAGAGCGATTGTGAGCTAAGGTCATGCGGTGCGCTTCAGTAGTAATGAGATCAAGCCTCAGTGTTTCTACAGCATGCTGTCGTTCCCCCGCGGGATCCTCTGTTCACTGTGCATCATGTCTGTCTGTGCTTCTGCTTTACTTTCCCTTTTGTGGAAAAACTGTGCACAGAGGAACCTCCAGCTGTTGTCAACATTTTTTTTACCACTAATAATACAGCTTCTTCTTAATAGGCCTACCTACTTAAAGAAATCATGGGCTAAAACTCAGTTCGGACTCATCCAAACGGTCACAGTTTTTTATCATCCGTCCAAACCACTCGTCCTATGCAGGTGAATCAAGGGAAATTAAAATAGAGGCAATACTGTACCAAACACACAAGGGTCAAGCTTTTCAAAGAAGCAATTTGGTGAAATGAATTTCCCAAAAAGAAATATTGCTAAATGTTAATGCAATTCAAATAGAAATGAACTTACAGAAGAACATCAACATTAAAGCAACTGCCAATTGGGAAACTAT